TTTACTTTACTTAACTTAACACAATCACCGCTTATGCGATAGTGTTTTATGTTTGACTAACCTGCGAATACATGGTACTTTCAGGAAACACGTTTCAAAGGGTAAAAAAAAAGCTATCCAGGCCTCCAGCACTTAAAATGCATATGTAAAAATATAATCACTTTACCGCGTTCCGGTCGCTAGCCCTGGAATTTTTTTGTCAAATGAATGATCATAAAACATTTATTTTAATCTATTTTGCTTTAAATTGTAGTAAATTGTTGCGGATGAAGAGTGTGTGGCATAATCTGGAAACAGCGTCCACACTGAATCATATGTAAAAAGTGCAGTTTGATTAGAAACTGTTCTTGATGTTCAGGAATGAGGTATTCAATGGTGGCAGTGGTGGCTTAATGGTTAGGGAAGCAAACTTGTAATTGAAAGATTGCAGGTTTGAATCCCTGACCAGCAAGGCACCACTGAGGTACCCTGAGCGAGGTACCGCCCCGAAGCTCTGCTCCCCGGGCGCTGAATTAGCTGCCCCCTGCTATGTCACATTGTCACATATGGGTTAAATTCAGAGAACACATTTCGTTGTTGTGTGTCAGCAATGACAATTGATCACTAAATTCTAATTTTAAAACTTTGCACAGTTATGGTTACCTGGGGTTTGATATTTAAATACATACATACCGCAAAAATTTTCACTGGAAATATTGATTGGGAATGGGGAAGGGGGTTGGAAGAAGACGGGGGTGGGTCATGAGATTCACCATGGGGGGGCATTGCACCCTAATGCCTTGCAGCGGGCCAATATTAGCTCAGCACAAGTAATCTTTGTCCACTGGAGGATGTTGAACACAGCTTGCATGAAACCACTGCTCACAATTGTCGCAGCAAATAAATAAACAAACAAATAAATAAACAAATTCTTTGTAGTGTATTTCTGACAAGTTTTGAAATCTATGTCTACCGTTACTACACCATAATTGTTGTTTACGCCAAAACTGATGTTTAAAGAATGTATTGCAGAGAGTACCCTGATTTAGCAAAAGTGTTAATATACATTTAATTTATATTTCCTTATGGCTGACCTCAAATTAATTTCTGCAGCATAAATAAGGGACAAATATCAGTAACAGATGAAAGTTTTGTGCCTGTAGGATTTTCACAGTGTGACAATCTGAGACAGAGTGACCTGCTATAAAATGCCACCCTGCCTAGAATTTTTATTTATGGCCAAGCTCAAAATAATGTCAGCTACAGAAAATTGGAGCACAAACTCTGCCTCATTCCAAGATCTTTGAGCTGCTGCAGACCTACAAGAACCTAGACCTAGGGGACACCTGGATGACTGACTAGGCTGGGCTGTAGTCATGGTGCCCTCTAGTGGAAAGGCCAGGGCCAGCTGTCTTCCCCAAGGAGTCTCTGGTCCTTTGGAGAATAAGCAGTGCTGCTAAGGACTTTCTACAGTAGTATGCAAAAGTTTGGGCACCCCTTGATAAATAACATATTATGGTCATTTTTTTATGGAAAAGATGTAAACACAGTCTCTGTAAGAAATGGAAAAAATGCACAATATTTTCACCAAACACTGATGCATAGGTGGGTGAATGGTGGCAGCAGTCATCCTGAGCAGCAACAAGAAACCAGGAGACACCAACATACTGAAGAGGCTCCTCAGAAAGGCTGCCTCAGTGCTGGGGACCAGCCCTGATCTCATGGAGGAGGCGGCAGGAGAGTTTGGACTATTCAAATCAGAGCTGCTGATCTGGACGTCACTA